ATGTGCCAATTTCTGTTAATGTCAGTAGCTTAGTAAGTAAAATACTCATCGTCTCATCAGGAAATCATTATAAATCGATCCGAAAACAGGCAAGTAGGTAATTATTTCTGAAAATCTTTACTTTCTGTTGAAATTTTTCAATTTCAGTTAACAAATTTCAAGCGACGATGATGAGATTATTTCTTCATCACCAGAAATTCTTGCTACCCAAGAAGTCTTGTGGACGATAAAAAATCGCTTTAAAAAAATCGGTCAGGAATAAAAGTATCATGTAATTTTCGAAAAATATTCTGGATGGATTAACATATCCACCTGATAACTGAACAGACATATACTTTTAGATTAGGAGGATAGAAGATAATATGGATTGAGTTGGCTTTAGTTGCGAATGATGTAAAAGTTGTAGAAATGCGATCAAATAAAGTATCGAATCGAACAAAGGAAACAATGTAATCCAATTCAGAACTCCAGTTGAAAGTATTCCTGGATAAATAGAATGATTAGCAGATGCCTATAAAAAGATATCAAGCTATACTTTTTCAATCGAAAACTCCGTATAGGCTGTAGAAAAACGGACTGCTGACTAATGGATCTATTATACCGGGTGTAACAGAATCATGGTATACCAAACTATTTTGTTGAAATGAAATGAAAATCGATATTGAACTTTTGAATGTCAGTAATGTAGAATCATCGGATTCAGAAAATGATGCGAAATTCTAAAGTGCAGTGATATACAGATTGTTCCATTTGGAAGTCGAAGGTTATCACTACTTCCGGTGCGACTGGAAGTGGAGAGTGAAACATATTTATGTCAAAACATGATGATTATCAAGATGATGGGTCATTCCTAATTTCAATCACCTGAGTCAGGGGCGTCCGCAGAAGTAATCTCAGGGAGGGGCAAGTCACAATAAATAATGTTCATTATTTAGAACATATAAAAAAAACTAAGCTAAGAAATTTTCAGGGATTTTTCTGGCAATAAATCTACCACTATGTTTGCAGTTGCTTCTTCAATAGTTTTTCCACAAATTCCTGCAATATTTGGAATGCTACCACACTTTTTCGATGTTCACAAAAAGCAATATGGCTACTTTTCTTTATCGGTATAGTCATGATCAAACTTCATTTTGTGATTATTGTGTTCAGATTTTCATTGTCATATTAACAATAATTGATTTTATCATAAGATTCTTTCAATTGAAATCGTCGAGTCGTGCAAAAATGGTATATTAACCTCGAAAGTGAGTTATTTCTTCCCTCAGTGCATTTCAGCACCCTCTGGCTACAAAACCATCTCTGGAAAAATCATGCACTTTACTCTCTCGATATATAATCTATTATCCTACATAAAACATGGCATAAAAAGAAAGAATATTAATTGAATTGACATCACATAGGTATTCTGTTTACAGCCAGAATTACAAAAAAAATTGCACGTGATGATAATCATAATCTTGTTCAAACAAAAATGGCATTCTTATAGGGTCTTGAGCAAATTTATCGATAACTTCGTCGATAAATTAGCTCTTTATATACAGGGTGTTTCATAATTGAATGCTGATCCTGAAGGGCGATAATCCTTGGGTGATTTTAAGGAAAATTCTTCATGTAAGCATAGGTCCGTAACAGCTTCGTTTCTGAGATACAGGATGTTGAAATTTAACAAAAAAATCAGTTATTCCCCAATATCTCTGGAATCGCTCTGGCTTTTTTCTTCAATTTTGGTACATGCCGAGTATAAAAAGAAATACATTTTTTCCATAATGAAGGATTTCTTAATGTCGATCAGTGGCTTCCCTGTTAAAATACCCTGTCATATTTTTCATCAAAATAATGATACGCCACTGTCTTTTTTCCAAATGAATATTATTTTTGTAATTATCCTTTATCTTCTCATAAAAATGGTCTCTTGTCTTTTTTTCGTCCGGCGAACGGTTTTTGAGTTAGAAAATAAATGCATTCATTTGCTTGTCCCTATTCGATTTTTACTCTTAGTCATAATTTCACAATTGTGGTAACCAAAAAATCTGAGCAATATTTTTATAATTTTATGGAAACTAGTCTTAAGTATTTGTGAAGAAGAAAAAAGCCAGAGTGGTTTCAGATATATTGGGGAATAACTGATTTTTTTGTTAAATTTCAACATCCTGTATCTCAGAAACGAATCTGTTACAGACCTATGTTCACATGAAGAATTTTTCTCAAAATCATCCAAGGATTATCACTCTTTAGAATCAGCATTCAATTATGAAACACCCTGTATAAGATGTCGATGAATACTATTTGAACAAAGTCTCAGAGAGTCACTTTAATAAGCGCTTATCAGAATAGGAATTGAATAATGCAAATGTATCTTGTTTAGAAAGTATCTGATGAGTGAAAACCAGGCGCTAGGGGGAGGGGGGGGGGCGAGCGCCCCTCCTTGCCTCCCCCTCCGGACGCCCCTGACTTGAGTCCAAAACCAAAGAAGGGGTGTTCCATGATCCTGTCACACCACACCCAGTATACCGGGTGTCAACGAATTTATTCGACAAGAACTCCTAGAATATTCGGTGTATCATATTGAAAATTGATATGGGTATATGTTATGTGAAGAAATGGCTCCGGTAACATATTTTCGAATTGAACACCCTGTATATTGTAACATGCTGAATTTCTGTAACAATTCTGTATCAGAATATGACATTTCCAGAAGTTCTTACGCCTTTTTTTAGTCACTTGAAATTGCATCTAGGTGGCCATAATAGGAAGTTAACTAATCTAAAGGGCCTCAGGTGATGTCAAAAAATCATAATAGCTCCGGTTTCAAATTTCCATATCAAATACCCTGTGTAATTTGATATGTTCAAATTCCTGAAACAATTCTGGTTCAGAATATAATACAAAAGCTGAGTGCAATAAGATTAGAGATAATAATTATTTGATGATTTCAGCAGTGATTATAATGTCACAATAAGCTTAGACAAAACCCCAATTTCCCTGTGAGTATTTCAGTGATCAAGAGGATTGATCTCATATAATTTTTGATGTTTTATAGAGGTCTTGATAAAGAGCTAGTAAAGACTCGAGAGCTTAAACAGAAACCAGAAAGTTGGAACACTTTGTTTCACTTTGACTGCAGACTCAAACGAATTCAGAAGATTGTCCTATAGTGTGACCAACGAGACGAGACTTTCATAAAGTCTCGTCTCGTCTCGCCGATGGAATATGAAGTCTTGTCTCGAGTCTCGTCTCGCAACTTCGAGTCTCGTCTTGTCTCGCGTCTCGTACGAGAGTCTCGCAAATGTATCGCAATTTCGTCATGCATAATCTTGTTCCAGTCTAGTACGGGATATTCACCTCCACCTACTTTTTAGGTATAATGTGGAAGTAGGAAAAGAAAATTACAACAAAAATATCATTATTTATTGAAAAGTGAGTACCAATAATAGGTAGCCGTGCGGACAGAGTGTCAATATTCTAATCCGCATTCGTTTGCCGGTCGTGGGTTCGATTCCCATCGACTGCAGAAATTTTTCTGATGGCCCAAGAAAGTGTTTGGGATCACACGTTAAAAGGTAAGGCCCCCGTCATTCCTTGCTCGCACAAGACTCTCGAAGACTTCTGAGGGTTGCTCGTAAGGGGGCAACCGAATGACGGATAGAACAATTTTAGAACAATTCATAATAGGTACATACTTACATCATACATCTGAACAAAAAAAAACATACCAAAAAGTAACACGTATACAAAACAAAAACTTTAATCCAACATTATTCCGCCGTAAGAGAGAGAATAGTCCGTTTCCGTTTCACGCATTACGTCGTTTTACAACAATCATGGATTGAGTTTTTGAAGTATCAACTGTTTTATCTATCTGTGCTTAATAGTTTGAATTCTTTCTAAATATACTGTATTATGAATGAAATTCTCAAGTCTGCAGTCGGCACGCAGAAATATTTACCTGCGAAACTCTCGCACGACACACGAGAAGTCTTGCACGAGACTCGAGACGAGACCAATAAAAGTCTCGTCTCGTCTTGTCCGAGTCTCGTCTCGAGTCTCGTGTCGAAAACGAGACGAGACCATGCGAGACTCTTGAAAACGAGACTCTCGCGGGCACCACTATTGTCCTATAACTATAAGTATAGGTATACGAATTATTGTGATCATTCTATGTAACTTATGTCAATCATCCGCTTAAATCAAAAAACGATGTATGAATTTGTAGAATGTATACCTAACCATTGAGTATTCATGACTTACCTAACCATCAACTGCTAACTGCGATTCAAAACCTTCCCAACTGCCTAATATCACATATCGCCAGATCACCACTATACTCAAATTTATGTTCCAAAGTATATTATTTGCCATTTATACGTGTACAACAACAAAATACCTGTTATCGAAGCCAAATACCAACAAATATGGCGACTGAGATACTGTGTGCATGGCGTTTGTCAAATGCAAGTTTGCGACTGCGCGTAGGCCTTTCATAAAATGGCATCTCTCGATCGGTACACAATGTTCCATTTTGTATATTTCAGCTATATTGAACATGTGTTGCATCTCATAGGTTGCAGCTATATTGTTTGTAGTTTGCTTATGTTATTTACATAGTCACAGAAGTTTGAAATGAAAGGGGCATTTTGTAACTTATGAACAATTTGTCGATAGTTTTTTTTGTTATATTGTTATCACGAATATAGCGGGTAAATTGATACAACATTGTATTTCCATATAACGGAAGGAAGCTTAACAATATATTGTGGCAATATTTTGAAACAATACATGTTTAGTGGGTACCTTTATAGGGCTCTGGCGGATTCAGGAAGCATTTTCAGACGAATGTTGAAAATATGTTTTCTTATTTTTATTCGCAGTATTGTCTTCCGGAGTATATGAACGTTAATCTGGGACACCCTGTATGATCATAAGGAGGTGTATCTACCCTTAGTGGTCCCAGTACTTCAAATCCGCCCTCGAACAAGAATGTGAAAATATCGACTTACTGGCTGAGAGTCCTGTCAGCGGATATGGCGCCCGACTCGTGGTGGCGCCTCTCCTTGTGCACGATGCCCATCAGCTTCATCCACGCATTGTTCTTGCCCCCGTGCCCCCCCATGCCGCTCTGCCACATCGTCATCTTGGCAGGTCATCACCGAACGACGGCGGAAGAGGTCGGACGGAGCACGTCGCTACGAGGTCGGTCGAACTGGAACAAATCGACCGAATCAATCATTTGGCAACATGATCATCATGCAAAAAATATTCATTTTAGAAAGACGGTCTATTGAGGACCAGCAAGAGGTTAGTTTGTTTATAAAAAGTAGTCTCCTTTCTTATAATCCAGTAGTTCTTCAGTAGTTTTTGCAGACTTGTTCATGATGTTGACCTGATGAATAATCCAAGTTCGTGACCATGAGCACCGAACGCAACTTTGTCAAGAATAGAAAAAAATTGCGAAAAAATCGTTGTATTTTCAGTTTTTGGCGATTATAACCCTAAAGGACTAGTTTTTGAAAAAAACTATCTCGAAACGTTTTTTAAGTAGACCAAATTTGCTACAATATGATATGAAAACTGTCTCTGTAGACTCATTAGTTTCCGAGATTGAGCCTTTCGCAATTTTCTGCAATCCTGTCGTTCTGATTGAATTTTGACCCTGATTATACAATCGAAGCCCTGTACTTTCATGATGAGATGATAAGAAATAAAATGAGGATTGTTAACGAGGATGTTTAAGCTTAGCTACAAATAACGAAATGAAAAAGATGAGTACATTAAAAGTTAGTGAGTATATTTGTTAGGAAATAGAGTAATATTGAAGATCAAAGAAAAAGATTAATTAAACCCTTTTGGAAGGTCCCGGTTGAGGATCGTCTGGATCTGGATCGACGTATTGGGATGGCATATCCCCATCAGGGGATGGTGATGAATCGTCGACGTCTTTTGCCCACAAGTCATCCTCCATTTCAACATCGGACAGATCGTCGCCTTCTGGGACATCTACTACTACAACATCAGGTACATTGTCACAAGAGGCCCCACTGCAGTGCCTGCAGACTGATGAGCATTCAAATCCTGACTTCCTGCAGCTGCACGCGTTCCCACAACCCTTCGTGCAGCCGCAAGAAATCATCCGCAAGAGGTGATGTGGGGCTGCATCTCTGGTCATCATTTTGGGATTGAGGCCTCGTGGCGTGGATATCCACCCCCAGGAGAGAGGGTTCAGTGTGACTCCCCACCACAACTGTACCTGTTAGGATATTGTACATGAGAATAGAAAATGATGAAAAATGATATGTAATGTAAATTACTGATGCAAGGACAAATTTTCACCTGATAGTATGTCCGCAAGGAGTGAAATCGAGCAGTCTTCTGTAGGAGGTATCCTGGCCAGATTGGTTTAGATAGCCTAACAAGTTTGAAAACATGCTACAGTTGGGTTGAATTCGTGACTTCACATGAATATTACTAGCACACTCCATCGGAGGTAATTGAAACTTCATCCCGCTAGAGTATATTCGAGTGACGCCTAAAACATTGCAAAAGAAAAGCTTTATCTCGAAAACTATTGGGTCTACAGAGACAGTTTTTGTATCATATTGTAGCAAATTTGATCTGCTTCAAACGTCCTGAGAGATTTTTTTTTTCAAAAACTAGTCCTTCAGGGTTATGATCGCGAAAATCTGAAAAAATTACGATTTTTCCGCGGTTTTTTCGATTTTTGACAAAGTTGCGTTTGGTGCTCGAGGTTACAAACTTGGATCATTCATGAAGCCAACATCATGAACAAGTCTGCGAAAAATCAGAACTACCAGATTTGACGCATACTACCCCCATATGTTCAGGCGACAAAGTTACTGGACTATTATGCAGGAGGGATATTTCCCTCACTCCCTGAAAAAAAACTGTGTTGACGCCCTGACGGCATGTTTCACTGTTGAGGCCGATAGGGTTTCGCTATTTCAATGATGTTTCAGTACCCGTGTTCTCACGCTGTAGCGTTCCCCCACCGCGATGATCATTTTTCGCTCTCGCGCTGTAGCGTTTCTCTGTGACCACTTTGAGGTTATAAGTTATAAGTAAAGACTTGGAGACTGAAGGCATTTTCGGTATTTTCTAACTATTTCGAGTGTCTTCCTTGTTTTCACCATTTTTCTGCGCTGTAGCGTTCCCCCTTCCCACATGCCCAATTCCCATTGGTTGACTACTTTGAGGTTATGAGTTATAAGTGGAGACTGAAAGACCATAAACAAACTACACTGAAAGTATTTCCGGTATTTTGAAACTACAAGACCTGTATTTTTTTTAAATTGACCGATCTTCATGCGGTTTTCGATATCAGATGTGATGTTTCATCGGCTTCAAAGAGAGCTAGAACAATCTGAAAAAGTCCGCAAAACAAAACTCACACAGGGTGTAAAGTGGAACCATTACACTATGGTCTACATTTCCAATGCTGCCAGAACTCGAGAAATTTTTTTCTGATCAAAAGTCAGTCATATTATGATACACTGGGACCTCATCTCGGGACGTTTTCGTGATTTCTCCTTAATTGGCCATTGGAACAAAAATTCGATTTTTTTTCGAAAGTCTTGCATTTCTTGATTTTTTTCTCTAGAACTCCACTTGAGCTGACTATTGGGAAGAACTGTTCTCATGTTTTATGGAGCATAATGAAAGACGATAAAAGCACTTTTTTGGATTATACAGGATGATAAGAAACTAGGACAAAATCTCATTTCAGTTAAAAAAATCAAAAATGGTGACTAAAACTATGGCCCATTCGATCCAGTATATTCAGAAACGGCCTTCTCGATATCCATCATTTATATTAGACTACTAACTCGAGATGTTTTCGAAAATTCGCCTCTAAGTGAAATACAGGATGAAATTTTTCAATTCAAACTTGTTTCCTGATATCGATGATTTTCAATATTTATTGCCCAAGTATGAGAAACAGAGAATTGTTGTTCAATATACTGAGTGTTTTACAACTACACGGTAAAAAATCCTATTGAGTGAAGCTTTTCGTCAAAATATAAATGAACAATCAGTTTCATCAATGATTCAAATGTTGTTGAATTTCAGTCAAAATTTTGTACATTTTTCATACTTCTGAGACATCTTTTGTCACTATTATTTAATGGGTACCTGTAAAATATTTACACAATCCGGTGTGGACCTGGATTGACACAAAGTTGTGTGGACCTGGAGTTAAAATCAACTCAAAAATTTTTACCGTGTACGATATTACATGAGAAGTCTATCACAAAAAAATTTAATAGAAGTGAAACGCGATGGAAAATAAAATTTGTAACACTTTATATCAACTAAAACTATTCGAAAAGGGTGATAAGAAAATAGGACAATACAGGGTGAAAATTTTCAATTCAAACTTGTTTCCTGATATCGATGATTCTCATCATTTTATTCAACGGATTTCCAATATTAATTGCCCAAGTATGAGACACAGAGCATTGTTGTTCAATATACTGAGTGTTCCACAACTTATCTGACAAATTACGAACTCTAGAAAACAATAATGTTAGAAGAATGTGGTGACCAGCATTATCTCCAGATCTGAATTTGATTGAACATGTGTGGAGCCGAATGAAACTTGACCTATCGAGAAGGCGAGGCACCCCAAAATAATGACAACCTTATCCAGAATGGGCGGCAATATCAATAGACCTCATCAACAACCTCATAAAATCTATGCCAAACCGATTTCATGAGGTTTTGTTGAATCGGGGAGGCCTACCAAGTACTGAAATTTAGGATATAGGACTTTCCAGTTGGATCTTCATAATGCTGAAGAATTCAATAATGTCATATTTCGCCAATAGAGCCCTTTTAGAATAGTTTTAGTGGATATAAAGTGTTACAAATTTTATTTTTCATCTCGTTTTACTTCTATAATTTTTTTTTGTGATAGACTTCTTATGTAATATCGTAGTTGTGGTTGAAATTTGTCAGATAAGTTGTAAAACACTCAGTACATTGAACAACAATACTCTGTGTCTCATACTTGGGCAATAAATATTGGAAACCATCAATATCAGGAAACAAGTTTGAATTGGAAATTTTCATCCTGTATTTCATTTAGAGGCGAATTTTCGAAAACGTCTCGAGCTAATGGTCTAACATAAATAATGGATATCGAGAAGGCCGTTTCTGAATTTACTGGATCGAATGGGCCATAGTTTTAGTCACCATTTTTGATTTTTTTCACTGAAATGAGATTTTGTCCTAGTTTCTTATCATCCTGTATAATCCAAAAAAGTGCTTTTTTCGTCTTTCATTATCCTCCATAAAACATGAGAACAGTTCTTCCCAATAGTCAGCTCAAGTGGAGTTCTAGAGAAAAAAATCAAGAAATGCAAGACTTTCGAAAAAAAATCGAATTTTTGTCCCAATGGCCAATTAAGGAGAAATCACGAAAACGTCCCGAGATGAGGTCCCAGTGTATCATAATATGACTGACTTTTGATCAGAAAAAAATTTCTCGAGTTCTGGCAGCATTGGAAATGTAGACCATAGTGTAATGGTTCCACTTTACACCCTGTGTGAGTTTTGTTTTGCGGACTTTTTCAGATTGTTTTAGCTCTCTTTGAAGCCGATGAAACATCACATCTGATATCGAAAACCGCATGAAGATCGGTCAATTTAAAAAAAAAATACAGGTCTTCGAAATAGAGTCAAATTATGAGTGGTCGATTTGGTGTGTTAAGAACTGTATTTCGAGTGATTTTCTTGTTTCCACCATTTTTCTGCTGTGTTTGATAAACTAAACAAAACTAAAAGTGTTGATAAGAATAAGTGAAGGTGAGTGAGAATAAAACATGCCTTGAGATTTCCCTAATCTCTGTGAAAACAACAAGAAAGAAATAGTTACTAATATATCCTGGATCTCTTAAATATCTAGAAGTGATGATTCTGGTAGGTATTGATAGAATCCCAGGTAAAATCTGGTCAAACTCCAATTCTCATATGAAATTGAACAACAGTCACTGATTGATTATGATGGCTGATGAAAACCCCAGTGAAAACCCCAAAGTGCCTCACATTCTGGATTGAATATATATTATTGGTTATGGAAATTTGAACATTTTGTCAGTGATTATTATTTTTTTTTTC